GTCTCTCTATGGATCTGTCTCTTTGGACATTTCATATAAACGGGATCATACGACACGTGGCCTCCCGTGTGTGTTCTTCAGCGAAAGAAACTCAGCATAAATGTCTCAGAGCTTCATCCGTGTTGTAGCGTGTGTCCGAACTCCATTCCTTTACGATGGCTGAGTAATATTCCATCGCGTGGACGTTATCCCTGTGTATTTATTCACTCACCTTCCTTCCTTCCTTCCTTCCTTCCTTCCTTCCTCCCTTTCATTCCTCTCTCCCTCCCTCCTTTCTTTCTTTCATTTGTTCTTTCTTTCTTTCTTTCTTTCTTTCTTTCTTTCTGAGCTTTTTCATGTGCTTATTGGCCATTTATAGACCTTCTTCGGAGAAACATCTATTTGAATGCTTTCCATATTTTTTTTCATAATTGAGTTTTCATTGGTTGTTCTGAGGGTCAGTACAGACAATCCAGTTTGTACACAATTCTTAGTATGTACTGAAAATCTAAGAAAATCACGTAGTTGTGATTCTCTTCGAAAAGTTGTTCCAGTGACCCTCCAGCTTAAAATTCGGAGGCACGTTTTCCTTAACAGGATATCAAGTACCAATATCTTCAAATGTTGACAGGCTGTCACATTAAGTCCCTCTTTTCCTTATTTTTTAATCGGGCTATTTGTTTCCTTTTGAGTTGTAAGAGTGCTTCATATATTCTGGATATGGATCCCTTGTCAGATACGAGATTTGCAGATAATTCTCCTTCCATTCTGTGGGTTGCCTTTTCAACTTTCTTTTTAGAATCTTTTTTAATGTTTATTCAGTTTTGAAAGACAGAGAGAGAGAGACAGAGCACAAGCGGGGGGGTGGGGGTGGGGGTGGGGAGGACACAGAACCTGAAGCAAGCTCCAGGCTGTCAACACGGGGCTCGAACTCACAAACCTCAAGATCATGACCTGAGCCAAAGTCGGATGCTTAACCGACTGAGCCACCCAGGCGCCCCTGCCTTTTCAACTTTCTTAGGAATGACCTTGGTCAATTTTTGTTGTTTTTCTTTTTAATTTGATGGAGACCAATTTACGTATTCCTTTGGTTGCTTGTGATTAGGTGTCATAGCTAAGAATTCTCCCTGCCTTCCAGGCACTTGTCCCATCCTCCTGCCCCCAGCCCCTCCCTCGGGTCCTGGCCGGAACACCCCCCACCCCACTGGGGTTGGGGCGTCTGCGCCCTGCTCTCGTTCCCCCAACTGGGAGGCCTCTTGGGCCCGCACCCTGCAGCCTCCATCAATGTTTAATAACGAACAGAGCGCACGGAACCTTGGCAAGGACGCGGGAAACCCCGCCCGGAGTCACCCGCCCCTCTCCAGCGAGGGGGCCCCCGTGGCCACAGATGGGGGCCGCGACCACGCTGGGCCCCGCTGTCCAGGTGGAGCCAGCGGGACATGGGTTTTGGGGGGGCAAGGGC